CATTCGATGAGCCTATGATTGGCAACAAGCCGGAGGAACCGATTCCACCCAGCCTGAAGCCGGTAGAGGAACCTATTCCACCCAGCCAGAAGTCGGTAGAGGAACCGATTCCACCCAGCCAGCCTGTTGCACCTGTTTCTCCCATCGAGGCAAGGTTTTGCAAAATTTGTCGATAAGAAAAGGAACTCAGCTGTCAATGTGACAAAGTTTGGGGGTCAAATGTTTCCAGACAAAGTTTGGGGGTCATGATGTCTTGCGAAATTGGATCCTGGCAGGAGGGCCCTTGTAGCAAAGACGATCAGCTCAGGTTGGCCCAGAAAGCCAAAAGTGAGTCCAAGTCAAAGGGCAGGCCGCGTGGCAAGGCGAAGGCGAAGGCGAAGGCGAAGGCGAAGGCCAAGGCCGGGCCAGAGGCCGAGGCCAACGCCCCTGTGGAGAGGGAGAAGGATGCGGAGGATGTGCCTGCCAAAAGGCGTCGGACTTCAGCAGCCAAGACGGCTGAGTTCAATGAAGCGGAGCATGGTGAGCTTTCGGAGCCGGTCAAGAAGATGCTGCAGCAGAAGGTGGTCCCGCACACCTTTGGCGGACGCGCTTGCCCGACCAAGGGATGGGGCCTTGAGAAATTTGCCAGGACAGTGGACGCTTACCGTCAGAAGGTTGAGCCGCACCTGCCATCTCGGACCAAGCACAAGGCTCAGGCCACCGGGTTGTAAAGTCTAGTTTTTGTTTTTCAGTCAAACCAAATGGAAATCCAAGAGGTGTTTTCTTCTAGCATTCCCTTGCACAGTGCACCCTTTCCAGATGCTATTCTGTGAGCTGGTGCAAAGTGCCAAGAATGAGCAATCCGATCAGAGCCCGGGCGACTTCAGCTACATTCAGTCTGCCGTTGCAAAGTTCTTCAGCGAGTGGCAAAAGCGCGGCCCTCAAACTGATAAGTCAGATGTCTACAAGTCAGATGACTGTGTCTCTACAAAAACAATGATGAAGAACAGCGCAGTGGAAACAAGACATTCAATCGTGAACAAATTTTAGCTATGTTTTCTTTTGGTTGGTATGTTTGTGTGATCGTGCATGAACAAAAGCCCAGCAAAAGGGAAAGTACACATCAAGAGGGACACAGAAGAACACACTAGAGAGGTTTACTTTATCACAACGGGGCTCAGTGTACGTAACCTTAAATAGACTTACCTTTGGACTTCACAACTCTGGACGATGCCTTTGAAGCCGCACCAACCTATTGAAATGTTCTGTACATACACTACTTGGCGAGTATCATGGAACATCTGGAGTTTTGTAAAGGCATCTCCGGACGCTGGACTTAGGCGGCAGCAGAAGGCATCTATGGCCGAGCCTGACCAAGCAGGAAGGGTTCAGCAACCGGCTGAGCAGGAATCTTCCACTCTCAGCTCTGGCTAAAGCTGACTAAGCTTGATGCGGAGCGATTTTGAATGTTGTGTTCCTTTGATTGACGATGGCCTTCAGTGCACGCATGCTGGCCAACATTAGCAGTCTGAGCACTGTCCTGTTTCATTGTTTTCGGAAGAGAGATTCCATAATTTTTCCGGAGAGCAGCGTGCTTAGATGAATGGCTAAGATTCCAGTCAAAGTGTTTTGAGCGTAGACTTCAGGACGGGAGGGGCCCGCAGCAGAAGAAATACTGAAACCTTCATTCAGCAACCAGGATGGAAAACGACCAGGCTGTCAAAGGTCTAGAGGCAGAGGGTTCACCCGTGCGCTCATTTCTTTGCCATGTGCAGGTTGGGGATGAGCTTCTTGAAGGAGCTCCGTGGTGTGAAGCGAGAGGCCAAACATGGGCTCGTTGACGCCACTGTTGAAGCCCTTGAAGGTTTCAGCTGGCCTGTTTGAGCATGTAGCGTCTGAGAAACAAACCCTTTTCAATGCTGAGAGTTAAAAATTCCTTTCGATCTTTACTCTGTTTTCTCAGCTGCAGCTGATCAGTGTTCCAAGAAGGGCTGAGGGTGTGAGAAGTGTACGGTTGGCCTGTTGCGGAAACATGCCATGGACAGCTTCTCAAGTTGTGCAGCGGTTGCACCGGATGAAGGCCCCCAAAGCTCCTTGTCACTAGACAGTAACGTTCCAATTACTACTGGGCAGTAGAGCTGAAGTTATATTATATTTTTATGCTTCCCTGCTGGCGCCTTGCTTCATGAGTGCTTGAGGTGCTCGCATTTGCGTGCATGCTTCTCATTTGGAATAGTGAGGTGGATGGCACACAGGCGCCAGTCGGATTTGAACTTATGGCCAAAAGGTCAACAAAGCAAAGGATGTAGGTTGCAAGCATTAGTTCCATCGCTGCAGGACCTTCATTTCTTCGAATCATTTGCTGGGTGTGCCATGGCAACCCGCGA